TGGCTGAAAATAGCAGTCCATATATACCGGTGCACATTCATCTTAGCTATCTAACACCGGGACTAATGCCAAGAAGGCTTCAAGGGATCTGTCGTTTGCGACATTCGTAATGTTAAGTTCGTCATGGCCTACCCTTTGGGAGAGTCAAGGATCAAGAACCAGTAATCACGATGATCTACTTTGGATAATGAAGCCTCTAACCTCAGTTTCATCAAATCGCCAGCTGATTCACGTTCTGGTCAGTCCACTGGTGGTAAATAGCGAGTAAGTGAATTATTTCTATTTTAGGTCGGAAGAGCTATCTTTGAGCTCCATGGCGGCGCTCGAATGGCAAACAGTTCTCATTGTAACGACACACAACGATGTGATAAAGGTAAATACAATAAAGGCGACAACACATTTCCATAATCATAAAAAAACGCTTGGACAGTCAGCTGAATATAAATAGAAACACACTTGAATATAAATAAGAGACACATTTTTCCCATAATCATAGAAAATTTCTGAAAAAAACGGAGTCCATTGTACTGATCCAACGATATCATAAGCATATGTTTATGAATCACTACCCAACAATAATGACACTAAGTATTCGCCAAAAGGTTTGCGTATCCAGCAAAAACATGAAAAGCCATGCCCTATAAACACATTGAAACGTATATTCAAACTCTAATTTGGTTTCTATTTCGTCCTAAACTATTTCTAAAACTATTTTCCAGTCAAGTGTTCACTAGAATCGACTGTAGGAAAACCTTAATTGGATGACTATTTAGTAACGCTTATTAGTAACGCTTGTTATTACACGCAGGCAAGGCCAGCAGTAAGTTAATTGTCTGCCAAACAATTGATCGATATACATTTGATGTCGCTGTGTGTGAAGTACAACCAGCTGTCCCGGATAATTAGTCGACAGGTGTAACGCACAACTGTGCTACTCACAACTCACAACTGTGCTACTTAGAACTCACAACTGTGCTACATAGAACTCACAACTCACAACTGTGCTACTTAGAACTCACAACTCACAACTGTGCTACTTAGAACTCACAACTGTACTACTAAGAACTCACAACTCAAAACTGTGCTACTTAGAACCCACAACTCAAAACTGTGCTACATAGAACTCACAACTCACAACTGTGCTACTTAGAACTCACAACTGTGCTACTTAAAACTCATAACTCGCATCTCTGCTACTTAGAACTCACAGCTCACAACTGTAGTACTTAGAACTCACAACTGTACTACTAAGAACTCACAACTCAAAACTGTGCTACTTAGAACCCACAACTCAAAACTGTGCTACATAGAGCTCACAACTCACAACTCACAACTCACAACTGTGCTACTTATAGCTCACAACTCACAACTGTGCTACTTAAAACTCACAACTCAAAACTGTGCTGCATAGAACTCACAACTCACAACTGTCCTACTTAGAACTCACAACTGTGCTACATAGAACTCACAACTCACAACTGTGCTACTTAGAACTCACAACTCACAACTGTGCTACTTAAAACTCACAACTCAAAACTGTGCTACATAGAACTCACAACTCACAACTGTCCTACTTAGAACTCACAACTGTGCTACATAGAACTCACAACTCACAACTGTGCTACTTAGAACTCACAACTCACAACTGTGCTACTTAGAACTCACAACTGTTCTACCTAGAACTCACAACTCACAACTGTGCAACTTAAAACTCACAACTGTGCTACTTGGAATTCACAACTCACAACTGTGCAACTTAGAACTCACAACTGTACTACTTAGAACTCACAACTCACAACTGTGCTACTCAGAACTCAGAACTCACAACTGTGCTACTTAGAACTCACAACTCACAACTGTGCTACTTAGAACTCACAACTCACAACTGTGCTACTTGGAATTCACAACTCACAACTGTGCTACTTAGAATTCACAACTCACAACTGTGCTACTCAGAACTCACAACTCACAACTGTGCTACTTGGAATTCACAACTCACAACTGTGCTACTTAAAACTCACAACTCACAACTGTGCTACTCAGAACTCACAACTCACAACTGTGCAGGGGCGGCCGGGTAGCCTAGTGGTTAAAGCGTTCGCTCGTCACGCCGAAGACCCGGGTTCGATTCCCGACATGGGTACAATGTGTGAAGCCCATTTCTGGTGTCCCCCGCCGTGATATTGCTGGAATATTGCTAAAGGCGACGTAAAACCATACTCACTCACAACTGTGCAGGTCATAGAATTAACGAAACAACCTTCTAATATGATCACTCATTATTGTGCCACGTGTAAGCGACAACCTGATGAGGAAGCATGCTGCCAGTTGTTTTGCGAGATCTTAGAAAGTTTTGCAGTGCTGGTTATGGGATCCATATCCACAGCTCCAAACCCCAAGCACATTCTGTTCTCCTGCCTGATGGTCAGTCAGTATTCACTGCTGAATTGAAGACAATTCATCATGCACTCAAACTCATACTGGAATTACCGGAAGCAAAGGCGGTCGTCCTATGAGACTTGCTAAGTGCACTTCGAGCCATCAGCTCCGACTCCGGGCCAAACACAGTCAATAATATTCTATACGAATATGTGGAGTGTACCCGTCTGACATAGATATTCATGGATATGAAAAAGCGGACACACCAGAGAAGCTAGCTCTAGACAAAGCGGAGATACAGCCTATTCCCTTTAGTAAACTAGAAATATAAAGCAAAATCAAAGCCTCGATAGCCCAAAGATAGCAAGATCAGTGGGACGCAAGTAAGATTGGCAGATGGCTATACAAAATTAAACCCAAGATCCTCCAAAAGCCAAACTCATACTCAAATGAAAGGAAAGTTGAAATCGCCATCTCACGCCTCAGAATAGCACCATGATAAGGTTTGTCCATCTTGCCATCAATCTGAATCCGTTGCTCAATTGTTACTGGAATATCAAGACCCTGTCCCAGCCCGGGCTCGGTTTAAACAAGAACTGCAGCTAGATCCGCTACATGTCGTAGATCTCCTAAAGCCAAGAGAGCCAATCTAACTCTATTTCTGAGAGATGGACAGCTGTTCGAACGCATATAAACAGAGCAACCAGAGATAAAAATGAAATCATATCAATATACGAAAATAGAAATCATATGAATACAAAATCAGAAATTCCATGAATACTAAAACTCGCAATACTAAAGCTCACACAAATGAGTCCCAAAGAGTGACAGGTCAGCCGAAATTGCTATGGAAGAAGGCGGCCTCTTAAACACTTAAAGTAACACGCCGCTTGTAGGCGACAACATGGTTAGGAAGCGTGCCGCCAGTAGTTTGGGGAGTTCTTAGAAAGTTTTGTTGTCCATCTTGGTTTTGTTCGTAAAGTGATTTACGTAATATGTGCAAGTCTTTGCAGGTCAACTCAAACAAACACCGTAATAAAACTTTCAGTTGAATATTATAATGATAATCTGGTAATGGTAATGTTATCATTCTGGGGACGAATATCAAACTCTTTGGAGAAGAAAATATGTCAAGACAAAAACACCCGAGATGAAGCCCTAGCTCGGAAAATGTCCTACTAAAGTCATCTGGGATATTAGTACGTGAACCGAACAATTGTGATGACATACAGCCACAAGAAAGTCAGTACAAAGTGTCCCTGGACTTTAAAAACTCTCAGCAGGTCAACACAAAAAAACACCGTAATACAACTCTCAGATGAATATTATGAATACTAATCTGGAGGAACACATAATAGAATCAATTATATTGTATCGAACTCCAACTTGCAATACCCAGAAAATCAACACAGGACGTCCATAGAAATCAAGATATTAGCACCAACGTTATTGCAGACTCACATTGGAGGCCTGTTCTGCATTGGCTTCATCATAAAGTCAGCTGATGCAGTACTGAGACGTTCTGTCAACAACTACACCCATTTATACAGTACTGACGTATATAAGTTCATACCGTACTGACAAGTTCAGTCAACAAATGTATCAGTTTATACCGCACTGACAACTTTAGTTGACAAATATATCAGTTCAAACCGAACTGACAACTTCAGTTAAATAATATATGAGTTAATACTGCACTGATAACTCCAGTCAATAACTACATGCAGCTCCTTGGGAATTTTGTTCTTTTCTCATACGGTCAAAACCAATTAAACATTTGTCGTCTCTTTATAAGAATGTTCACACATCTTTTAAGAGCAGATGTTTCAGTAAAATCATATTGCATTTACGTAAAAGGATTGGGCAATTGTTAGATGGCTGTCTCGTAGTCTTGTTTGTCAACTTTTTTTCACACAGTTTTATGAGGTAGAAGTTTCAGTAAAAACATGGGCAATTGTCAGATGGCTGTCTCGTTGTCTTGAATGTCTGATCATTGGCAATTTTGTACAGATCACAGAAGAAATTTAAAGAAAAGAGTAAAATATGTATTCAGTCTCTCGATTAAATCCTTTCTTTATAGAAAAGTATGCATGAACAATTTTAAAATATTTTGAAACAAAAATGAATCTCCGCATTGACACATAGTATCAACTCCATGCAAACACGACGTGAGGTATTCACAGTGTTACCCACAGCATATACGAGCTCGTTTCTTGGTACATTGAAACATGGACCTTCCACACAGTTTACAACTAAGTTCATCGGTAAAACCTCTTCGGAATATGAATAATTCAAGGAACTGTCACAATGTTTTAGTTTTGTTCTCAAGACATTAATATTCTTTCTTAATTCCCAATTTCGCGGTTCCACTCATTTATATTGAAGACGAATCATATATTTGTGTGCTGAAAGTTTATATTGTCACTGCAGATCTTAACAATGTTAATTACATTATCAATACTAATATCTGAATACGGAGTTTTTCTTTTAATAAGGCAGATCCGCAAGAAAATGTATTCGTTACATTCTTTCCGACACGTTCAATATAGTTATTGTAAAGGTACATAGAGCACATTAGTGGATTAGGTAAACAGCTGTTAGTGCATCAGCTAGTTCCTCACCTTATTGACCGCGGGATAATCACAGGCAACGCCAATCCAACGTATACTCCTTCATAAGGCGCCGCGACACACCTACAGTAGCGACGACAACTAGAGCCTCGGCGTTCTGTGTTGCCGTTATGAATGCGCACATGGCACAGTCCACTAGCTGTCGAGGACGGTGAGAGAAGGGGTGTGGGATACAGGCTTCATTGAGAGAGATGTTCTAGCTTCTGTTACAGCTGCCGGCTGCTGAAAGCTACACAGGTCGCTCACACTGGTAACTGTCACTGGCGGAATATATAATGTAGGAGAGACGGGTTGGTGGAATGTTATGCAGGGATTGTGAAGGTCTGATCATGAATATCTCACTGATTACATTTCTGAAAATTTACTTCAGATCCTTTGTCTACTGACGTGCGTTACTTTGATTAGCTCTGCAATAATGTGTTCACTTAACAAATATCAGTTTATAGTCCAAAGCAATAACTCGAGATACACATGAATTATAAAGGATACCTATTAGCGAAGGATGTCTGATACATCAATAATGGGACACGCGATAGCGTGCCTATTTCTTCTTTGGCAAACTACAAAGGAACCTACTTCCCCAAGGGAATTATGTTGGAGGTCTATGTAATATTGTCGTGTCAGAGACTTAACAGGAGCTGAAAAATATAGTTAGACACCGTTACTTAGAAAGAGCTTCGTCCCTGTAATTGTATATTCTTGACAACTTACATTAGCCGATAACATGCATTCTTGAATATGACTTACATGTACATGTATATCCTTGTCTTTCGCATATATTCTTGTTTGACTTTTAAAAAGCTTTGCTTGTATTTCATATACTTTTTCTCGTTTCTCGTGTACTCTTCTCTTTCACGTATTTGTTCGTGTCTGTTTTTTACATATTAGTTTGTCTTTCACATACATTCATAGGTTTCACACCTTTATATCTCATTTCCATATATACCAAAAGACGTTAAAAGATGGTACTTGTTGTTATCCTGTCTGGCGCTCGGCATTAAGGGAGTAAAACAAGGACTGGTCGGCTCGGAGTCAGTATACTGTGTCTGAGTGGGGTATTCATGTTTAACTGCGGCATGGTATCTCAGTGGACTAGCACTTTTAATCGGCATAAGTACAAGCAGCCACACACACAGACACACACGTTGCACGTCGCTATATAAGTACAATAATCTTGAACGTGGCTTTGAACCCCATTTCACCTCACCTCACCTCATTTTCATATAAAAAATCACACATCATATATTCATACGTCCCATAATTTCATACAACATTTCATCCTTATAAATGGGTCTTTCGTTTATATATAAATTCACACCACGCCACATCAAAAGTGCTTTCTGAACGTTCCCACCATATCCAAAGACATTTTTATTTTCCATTATTTGGCGTTGAGCTATATTTCAGCCATATTAAGGTGTGTGTGTGTGTGTGGGGGGGGGGGGGGGGGGGGGGTAGAGTACGATGTTCTTTCACACATTTTACCCATGTGGGAAATCAACCCCGGGTCTTCGGCACGATGATCCAATGCTCTAAACTACTATATGTAGGTTCCACTGCCTCTGAGTCAGTGTTCGGTTGATAATCATCCAAAATTTCAGTCACCCGTGAAGATTCGGGTAAAAATAGGTGTTCAGCATCCCGTGCTTGCCGTGAGAGGCGACTATGCTTGTCGTAAGGGGCGACTAACAGGTTCTGGTGGTCTTGCACGGTGACTTGGTTGATTATGTCATCGTATCCCAATAACGTAGATCGATGCTCATGATGTCAATCACTGGATTGCCTGGTCCAGACTCGATTATTTACAGACCGTCGTCATAAGCTGTAATATTGCTATGTGCGGCGTTATACAACCAACAACCAACAACAACCAAATTTCAGTCGCTGCAATCCTTCAATTCTGATCAATTCTTAGTAAATTGTGACCGGCAGTTTAAAGGCGGCGGTCAGCGGCTGGGTACATCTGGGGTATCTAGAAAATTAAATAATGACGGGTTTTTTCAATTTATCAATTCTTTTTATTTTTCAGCATGAATGACTTGTTTGGTTGAACATACTATTTCTAAACATAATAGATATTGATATATTCATATCTAACATCATTAGGAAGCACATCCTCGCCATTCAAATTTTATAACTCCGAATAAAGGCTAGCGTCAGCACCATTTTTACTATAGAGATTTCATGTTGTGAAAAGACGACGCGACAATTCTGTGCGTTTTCTGATTTTACGTTGTAACTGTACGTCTCACACAAATCCAGCTATTATTTAATGGTCTAAGAACAGGAAAGTGTTTGTAGTCGTGTCCCTCACGAGGGGTAACAGTAACCTGCTGTACTGAATTCTTCGCAAACCTCATCTCGTTATCGATTGTCATGTACACAACGGTGTAAATTGGCGGTCCTTGTCGAATCAGCTTATATGAGAGAGATAAGAGATCAATAGTTTATATCTGTGTCTCGCATTAAAACTCACAACAATAAAATGACAATGTTACATACGGATAAGAGTGTAATACACAGCCATATAATCCAATAATTCCCGAGTCTACATATCACAGTCAGTCAAGACGCCGCGATTCGCTGTGCAGAGTTGCGTCCCTTGGGCACAGTAGAAACCTATGATTGTGGGTTCGAATCCCGGTTCGCCCCGAATATGTTTCTAGGTTCGTCAGTACCATACCCATGCTTGTGGGTTTCACCGAATTGGTAAATGTCTGAGACCTGCATCACTTCGGGCTTTCCTCCCACATTAAGCTGACACGTCGTGATGTTACTGGAATACTTTTAAAAGCTGCGTTAAACCAAACTCACTCACTCATCAGGTGAATGAATCATATGAGGCACAGAGCATGTATATGTACATGTACGAACAACAAAAGTAATAAGATAACAAAAGGTGGAAACTTAACAAGGAAAGCCAACAGATAATTAGCGCTGATAGGCTAGGTATAGGGGGTATACACGCGCACAAAAAGATAGTATGATTCGCACTACATAGAATATAAAGTAATAGAAAAATAGATGCCACATCTAGGACTGAAAGTAATAATTATATCCCCTCTTTCACTTGATTATGAAAATGTAATCTTGTCCGATTACTAATGGAGAACTAGTCTAGACTTAAATGTAATGAATTACAGACGATTTGATACCGTTTTGTTTTACGTCGTGTCTCTGGCGGCGTCGGAGAAAGACGACATTGGTATATTGATTGATATGTATCTCACCTTATACTCGTTCATAGCAGGAAAAAATCTCGTCCCCTTGTTTCAGAATTAAAAATGAAAATAACACCATTTATATGGAATTATCAGGATATTCGTATAAATTGTTACGTTTTTTATTAAGTTTATACAATTCTAAAGGTAATACAGTAAACAGTATATCATCCAGTGATTACGATATTCAAACAGGTCAAACAATTGATTGTATTATGCAAAAACAGGATAAATTCGTAAATTGTTTGTGACTAAACGCGGAGTTGTTGAATCGTTACAATTTGTTAAATTTCTTCTACAAATGATTGCATATATGTAGTTAATATATATATAATACAAATACTTACATTTTGCTAAAGTAATATATCTAGTTTTAGTTAATATAAAATAGAATGAAATGTCTATTCATCTACCTGTTTATATGAAATTACAATATTCAATATAACACTCCAAAGGAACTACCTAGTACGTACATGTACATTTGCAGTTACTTTTACATTTCATCTTCTAACACTTGCCATAGGGTAAGATATATGATATACGACACTAATTCTGTTACTACGTTGTTACGTGTCGATTCCCAAATTTATACAATATGTTAACCCAGAAATATGTTAGTAAAAGAACTAGAATAGAGTGGTAGTACAATATTCAATGGTAATATATACAATGTTGTCAGTGGTCAGTATCAAATACAAAAATACAGTGGTGATAGCAAAGGCAGACATAATATGCATATTCACCCAGCGGCGACAGTAGTCAAGCTTCCGAGATGGGCAAGGTAGAGACTCAGATATGATGAGCGATCCTCCCATGAAACGATGAAAATGCGGGATAGACGAAATGTGTGAAAGAGATTCGTAAACACTCTCTTGTCAGCTTATATAGTCTAACCAGATACTTGAAAGTTCCACGTGTTTCGAAAACTTACGAACACCGTCCGCGGTATAGGGGACCGGAAGTTCTCACACTACACTAATACCCAAATATATTAATAACGACTGATCACTGTCCACACACAGTGTAACGAGCGTCAGCTTAATCAGAAGCAATGTAACACAGCTACAATCACTGTCAAATATTGAAACACACTGCCATAAAATAACGTCTGGCCCAAATTGTGCTCTCCTTCTTGCTGAACTGTTTCTTTATGCACATGAATCGGAATTAATTTCTGCTCGAATTGGCAAAGTCAAATCAAGTATATGAATGATCTGATGCCACCAAATAGCCAATTCCCTTCCACTGATTTACCCAACTCCCCTAGAAATAAAAGGGACCAGTCTGTTCCATATTTAGATCAATGCTTAACGATTCAGAGTGACTATAAACTCTCCACAAGGGGGACAAGAGGGATGCCTTCAACTTTCAAATAGCCAACTTTCTCTTTATGTGGAGCAATATGTTCCGGCAGCTCCATCCTTTCCTGTCCACATTTTACAACTTTTGAGCTAGAATCGAGTAGGACTTTGCTACAAAGATTCCAAAGATCGCCACACGACTCTTGCCCTAAAGGTGTTTCTTCGGGGTATCATTCAGTGCCTTAGTGAATCTTTCAAAACGATTAAAGGTATGAGGACATTTTCAAATTTGGCACATCAGTGACAAAAATCAAAGGCTTTTCCCTATTTTGACTTGAACATAAATATTATGTTCCCTTGAGGTTTTTTCAGATGAACAATTGACTTGTCTTTTCATGTGTTTGTGACGGCTGCAACCATTGGAGCAGGGTAGCTCATCTTTTCGCGAACACCTGGCATCATCATTATTTGATAGTGATTCATAAATGCATCCTTGTGATATTGTTGGAATCGTACAATTCCCTTATTCTACGATACTCTTCATATGCATATTCTCAAAACAATGAGCCAGTCCATGCAACTTGTAGAAGAATGCTTCCTTTACATTTTAAACAAGTGCAGTTTTCCGAACATAGCGTTCGTTTTCACACCTAATCTATTTTGCTTGATTTCCTCTAGACCATTTGTATCAGTGACAAAGACAATT